AAAACGTGTTCTTGTGTTTTGTTTCATTACTTTAACTTTTTTCCAAAACCAATAAATGTTCACTGCAAAAAAAAATACAATATATGATTGATTATAAAGTAATAAGAAAACATGCCAACCCCCATGCTACCTCAGTCCCATTTCCCAGATGTAACACACCACAACAGTGCCATGTTTAACCTATCGGCCTTGCAAACCTTTTTCTCTAGACATGCGATTGACCAATCAACAAATATTTATTGAGCATCTACACTGTGCCAACCACAGTAGCAGGAGCTGGGGAAACAGCAGGGAACAAAACAGACTAAATCCCTGGAGGAGAGGTTCATTCAAACAGTACACATATGGTAACATACATCATTACATGTACAGTTTTTTAAAAAACAAAATGAGATGCTATAAATATTCTTTTGTGTTCATCCAATTTAGAGAAGCTGAAAAATGCCCAAAGTAGGAGGGGAAAAAAGAGAAAAACCTCGTGAGGTTTAGATTCATGATCCAAAGAAAGTTACATTTTTATAGCTTTGTTTAATACCCTCCAGTTGTTTATATATAGTTTTATTTTACAAAGTCATGATCATACAGAGAGTATAGATTTTCGTCATCTTTTTTTTCTTACGAAAGAAGTGCAAACAGAAAACATAAACGGGCAAAATTCCATGTAAATCTACCACTCAAAATAATCATGGCTACTCTTTAATATCATTTTTTTCCCCAAAACTGGGAGTTTGGGATCACACCGGATCTACCACTTGGTAACAGACTCTGATCTTGTAACACATTTCTGTTGTAATTCTGTACCATCATTTTCATGGCTATAGACTTGGCCTATAGCTGTGAAAGTGGATTCACTGTAATGGGATCAGCCAGTCTCCTTTCCTGGGATATTAGGATATTTTCAATTTTTTATTTTCATGCAAACACTTAAGTGAATGCAAAGCAAAATGTCCACACATATTCTTAGTTACCTAAAGGTATGATGTTAGATTGTTTTTCTTCACTTGTATTTTCACTACATCAAAATGTTGATTGCAGTTATCTTTGATGGTGTGATGTGAGATTATTACTTTGTTTTCATACTTCTTTATTTTCTCTAAATGCCTTGCAATGAACAGGTTTTATTTGCATAAACACAATATTATTTAAAATGATGCCATGAAAATTTCTATATGACCGCCGTTTTCATGGTAATGGCTTGTTACGGCTGCCTGTAATTCCACATAGGGGATAGGCCGTAATTCACTTAACCATCCCCTATCATTGACCGTCTGGGCTTTTTCCAACTCTTTAAGATCGTTATACAGGAAACCTACTCCATATCTGGGGTCACGTCCTCAGGGAGCAACCCAGCAAAGGCTGGTGAACAGATTTCACACCTTTGGTTCATCCTGCCAAGCTGCTTTCCCGAAAGGATGTTCCAATTTCCACTCCCACCGGCAGTGCGTGGGAATGCCTGCCCAGCCGCCCTCCTCTCCCTGAGACGGTTCAGGCCCCTGGACAGTTGCGTCCTCTGCCAGGCGGGCAAGAGAGAGCAGGAAATAATTTGGCCAGCAAGTGACCCCAGACCCAGAACCAGGAGTGATTTTTAACAAGCCTGATTCTCAGAACAGAACCTGCAGAGAAAAAGAAAGCAAGCAAGGAAAAAAAAAATAAAAAACCTCTCTACTGGAAAAAAACACACACATACACAGATTAAAATAATATTTGGCACTTACGTCGCACTTTTAAAATTCTTCAAACGCTTTATAAACACTAGCTAATTAATTAAGCCGCCTAAATCTGGCTGCAGTTGGTGGAGAGAGCTTGAGAGGAGCTAAAAAAAAAAAATGGGGGAGCCAACCCTACACAACTCCAGATTTTATTGTCGCCTGCCTGGGGTGTGATTACAGGCCTCCGGCTGCACCACAAGAATAGCCCTGCTCCAACATGCTGCACGCCTGACTCCGCAGCCTCTCCTGCGCCTCCTGCTCCCTCACCAACTGCTGACTCACAGCCCCGTGTGGTGTTATTGATAAGGATAATAATAACTGCAAGCCAGGCTCAGTCCCGGGCTCCAGGCCTGCACCCTCTCCTAGATATGCCAGTATCAACTCCATTTAGCACATGAAGAGAGAGGAGATTTGCCCAGGGTCATGGAGCCGACGAAATCCTTCCTTCATTCGTTACGGTATTCATTCTGCATATTTTTATCGATGACACTGTTTTAGGCAGGAGGTTGGAAACAGTCCCTTGTGGATCCTACATCCTACTATTGGGAATGTGACAATCCAGAGAAAATCAAATATATGAATAATACAGCTATGTGATGATAACGGGAATGAGAATTAAAACTTACCCAGCACCTATGCAGCAGTCTTACCACCGTGTTGGGGTCCTCATGACTGCTGGGGTGGATGCCAGAACCCCACTTTGTGGATGATGGAATGGGGGTCCAGGGAAGGTGGGTACAGAGATGGCTAAGGCGGGAGCCATGCTGTCGCCCAGGCCTGCTGGCCCCAGCAGATGTGCTTCCTCAAGGCAGCCTTTCCAGTTGGTCCAGTCTTGAGGCTGAAATACAGACCTACTGGGAAAGTTCCTAGCTCAGTGCTGCTGGCAGCTGCTGGTGCTGCCTCTGATGTCCCCGCCTGGACAGGCCTCCCACACATCTGGCCACCAGCCTCACCCCTCTCAGGCTGTCTGATGCTGGCTAGGCCTCTGTCCACTGTGGATTCTGTTTTTTTCTCCTGTGCCATGAAGATCTTGCCATATTCAACTTCAAATGGAAATGAAATGAGAAGCTGGACTTCCTGACAATAAAAGCAGTTGAGGTCTTAAGTGATTGGTCAGGAAAATAAAGTCGAAATGGTCATATTTACACCCAGAGCAGGTGAAGTGGTCTTAGGTACTCTGAGTCTCCACTCACCTGCCATGGGAACTGGGCCCCAAGGGTGATCCCTTGCAGTCAAGACTGGGTGAGGCTGGGAATGGGAGAAAGAGGCAGGACAATGGGCAGATAGCCCTGGGCTTGCTGCAGTGAGGGCAGACAGGGGTCTGTGAGCCTCTTTCCCTGGCTGCCCTGCCCCTGCCAGTGGGGTGGTGCCAGGCCATGGGTTGCTGGGCAAATTCACAGGGTCTCTCTCCTGCCCAGCCAGAGCCAGAGGGGCTGCTCTGGACATCTGCCTCAGCCTTGTCTGATGTACAAGGCAAAGGTGGCCCAGATCAGGGCAGGACAAGGTCAGTGGAGAGTCCAACTAGGGCCCCAAGTCACCTGTCACCTGCATACCAGGTAGCTGCCACTCCTCTGTCTACCTCATTCTCTCCTTCTCCCCCATTCTAGCTCTTAGGCATGTGTTTCTCTGAGGTCTTTATGATCATGATCTGTCTTTTTTTTTTTTTTTTTTGAGATGGAGTCTCGCTGTGTCACCCAGACTGGAGTGCAATGGCGCGGTCTCAGCTCACTGCCAGCTCCGCCTCCCGGGTTCATGCCATTCTTCTACCTTAGCCTCCCGAGTAGCTGGGACTACAGGCGCCCGCCACCATGCCTGGCTAATTTATTTTGTGTTTTTAGTAGAGATGGGGATAGTCGCGATCTCTTGGCCTCGTGATCTGCCCACCTCGGCCTCCCAAAGTGCTGGAATTACAGGCGTGAGCCACCGCACCTGGACTTTCTTTTTTTTGTTTCTTGTACCTCACCTTGTTCAGAATCAAGGCCCTGGCTGTGCCTTGCTCTGAACTGTTCTCACTCGGTCCCTAAGCATCTTCAACGCATGTCATGACAACCTCATCCTGCCTTCCTCTTCCTATCTGGGCTCTCTCCCCTGCACCCCAGTCTCTCCACCCAGGGTCCCTGTCTTGTGTGCCCCAGTCTCTGTGATTGGAGCTCAGGCTCCTGCAGCTGACCTCTACAACTCCTTCCAGCTACCCATTTGGGAGCCCTTGAGGCCTGGACTGGGTCCAGCTCCAGTGTGTCCCCATCACATTGAGGCCTGGGTCACAGGGCATCAGCAGGTGTTGGTGAGAGTGAAGTTTAAGCTACAACCGCCGCCTCGTTTATTCAGTGTATGGTAACAACATCTTCCTCAGTGCCCGGCTCCCAGCTAAGTGACTTCTATGTGTGATCTTGTTTTCTTTTCAGAACAAAGCAGAGGCCTCGGGGGTGTTCTCCCCATCCTGTAGATAAGAAAACTGAGACTCAAAAGCAATGGATAAACTAAGGTCCCACAAGAACAAAGGGCGAGCCAGGTTTTAAACCAGGTCTGATGACTCTAAAAACCAGATGCTGCATTTGGACACTGCTCCCAGCCTTGGCTCGTTTTATCCTCCCAGAGATCCATCGAGGTGGGGTCATAGTAACTATTTTACAGATGAAGAAACCAAGGCTGAGAGCAGTAAGGGCAAACTAAGGGCAGCTCTTGCATTTGTGTGGCACTTTGCTAGCCAGGCTCAGTCCTGGGCTCCAAGCGGGGACTCAAACACACTGGCATGAGTCTACATTGGATATTCTTAGTCACCTGAGTGGTGGCCCAAGGACACAGCTATAGGCCACTGATCCAGAACTCAAACCACATTCTCCTACTGCCCAAACCGCTGAGTACAGCCTCCCTTCTCAGGGCCTGCATCCTGGACCAGGTCGGAAACAGAATCTAACGCCTTGTAGAGCCCCACACATGCCAGGCCCCCTTCTCTGAGACTTTGCCCAGCCTGTTGCCTCTGTCTGGAACACAGGCTCCCTTCTGGCTCATTCAGATTAGAATTAGAGAGCCCAGCTCAGATGTGACTCTTCCAGAGAGGTTCCAAGCATTCAAACCCACTCTCTGCCATGTCACTTAGCTTTCTGTGCCTCAGTGTCCCCACTTAGAATATAGGCTCATGTTGCAGGTTTGTTGTGAGGGTTAAATGAGATAATACATGCAGTATACTGACCTCACAGCCTGCTGCTGGTGTGCACCCTGTCGATGAAAGTCATTGATAAACACTTGAGGCAACACAGAGGATCATGTAAGGATGAAAAAAAAAAAAAAATGACGGCTTTGTGCTCCCTTCCAGGAGTGTTGGGTGAGGAGGAGCTGCAGGTGATTCAGCCTGAGAAGTCCGTGTCAGTCACAGCTGGAGAGGCGGCCACTCTGAACTGCACTGTGACCTCCCTGATCCCTGTGGGGCCCATCCAGTGGTTCAGAGGAGCTGGACCAGGCCGGGAATTAATCTACCATCAGAAGGAAGGCCACTTCCCCCGGGTAACACCTGTTTCAGAGTCCACAAAGAGAAACAACATGGACTTTTCCATCCGCATCAGTAACATCACCCCAGCAGATGCCGGCACCTACTACTGTGTGAAGTTCCGGAAAGGGAGCCCCGACGTGGAGTTGAAGTCTGGAGCAGGCACTGAGCTCTCTGTGCGTGGTGAGTACAGCACGGGCCTCCTTTGTCCCCTGATGTGTGACAATAACTCAATAATAACACCCTCCATTCTTAGAGCAACAATCAGGTGTGGTGGTGGGTGTTCCTTTTCATGAATTAATGTCTCCCCCTTTTACAGATAAGGGAAGTTGAGGCCTGGAGATGTCATGCTATTTGCTCAAGGCTCCACGGCTGGTAAAGGGTGGGAACATCTGCATCCTTCATCTGCCTGGCTCTGTGGCCCTGGCCTCTTCAAATTGGGCCCAGCCCTTTGGTTCCACAGATGAGGGAACTGACAGATAGAGTGACTTGCCCAGGCACAGGGCCAGAGCTCGCCTGCTGCCTCCAGAGAGCACTTCCCCCTCAGTGTGGCCGAGTCTCCTCTATGCGACAGGCACTCCCTGAGAACCTACTGTGTGCCAGGCTCCACCAAGCTTGTGTTCTCATCCCTTCCAATAAGAATCCACCCAGGGCAGGGAGCAGCGGGGGTGTGCTTTCCTTTATTTCATCACCAAACATCAACTGAGAAGATTCCTAAAAGGCACAGATTTACTGTTTAATCTGAATGCCCTGGTGAAGAGGAGAAGCCAGAGGTTTGGGCATTTTCTGTGGGTCTTTTAGAAAAACCCTTGTATCGTTTAGGGACTGATTCATGCAGTCACTAAAGGCTCTGAACAAAGCTGGGTCATCATAGAATGTCCCTCGCCCCAGGGAGGAGGTCTCCCTTCTAGGTGACTTTGGGTTCCTCAGTTAAGGCAGCAAAGGTGTTCATTTTGTATTTACTGCCAGAGCACCAGAATCCTCGTTCTAACTCCGGATCCTGGGACATTAGTGCAGGAAGGACCCTCAGACCATGCAGCCCAAACCCTAGTTACAGGTGGAAACTTGAAGTCAGGAGATGACAGGGGCCTTGCCCACGGTCACAGGACCAGCTGGTGACAGGATCTGGACTAGAGCCCACATTTGATTCCGGGAAGGCTCGTTCCTGCCCAGTGTTAAGACATTGTTTCCACAGAAGAGCCTGGTGCATCACAGGTGCTGACTGAAAGCTCCTTGAACAGAACCGCTAAGCAGGGAGCCAGCACTTCTCCTTTTCATCAGTTTCCTAAAGGTTCAGAATACTCACATTCAGACCGTTAGACCCATTGGTGATTGGAAAACCTCTCCCAAATGTAAGCCTTAGCATTCGATACTGAGATTTCGTATCAGGATGGAGACCTGCTGCATTGTGTAATAGCTACAGAATACTCCAGCTTATGGAAATGTCAGATGTGTTTTACAGTCTTCCATTGATGGATACGTAAGTTGTCCCCAACCTTGAGCTATTGAAACAGTCCTGCAGTGGATGACCTTATACATGTGTGACCTTACTCAGGTGGGAGACGCCCACTGGAAGTGCCATTGCTAGATCAGAGGGGGTGTGTGTTTTAATGTGTGTGGAGATGGCCTAATTTCCCTCCTCGACATTATAACAATCAAGTCTCCCCACAACCCCTGGACATAGGCAGGGAGGGTGGCTTTATCCTGACTGTGCAGATATTACAGGAAGAGACATTGAAGTTCCCAGATGATGCATCCCGTGCCTAGACAGTCACAGCAAGTAAGTGGCCTAGGTGTGACCCACATCTGCTGACTCCTAGTAGAGTGCTCACTCCTCTTTGCGATGCTGTCAGCCTAAATGATGCCCTGGATGAGAAAGGAGGGAGGTAGGAGGAGGCCATGGAGCAGCAACTGGGCCAGATCCTCATCCTGGCACTTTCTCCTTTTATAACAAGTACTATGAAGGAAGAGTCATTTCTTGCCCCTTTTACAGATAGGGACTCTGAGGCTCAGAGAGGAGACCTGTGTGGTGAGCAAGTAGGGGAGCCAAAGTTTGGTCCCCACCAGCCTGACTCACAGCCCCTGTCTCTGTAACACTCAGCTGTGCTTGTCAAAGTGTGGAGAAATGATCCACCCTTCTCATTCCGAACTCTTGCAGTTCTATAGCAATAAGCATAGGCTGAGGCAGGAGGATTGCTTGAACCCAGGAGATGCAGATTACAGTGAGCTGAGATTGTGCCATTGTACTCCAGCCTGGATGACAGAGCAAGATTCTGTCTCAAAAAAAGAAAGAAAAAACAAAACAACAAATCCTATGGGAGTAGGAGGGACTGGCCCCCATCAGAAAGGTCCTGCAGATGTCTCATGATATGGGAACCTGTTCCTGAAGGACAGGTCTCTGCACATCACTGAGCAGCATCCATGGAGCAGAGTTGGGCCTCCTGCAGCCCAGCAGACCACATGCTCATCTACTCATGGTGCTGAGGACTAAGGATAAGGAGATGAGTCATTTCCTGGTGGGTGCTTGGGGCTCACTGGAGTAAGAGTTTATATTCTCCCCTCAGGCTGTCAGGAGCCCACTGACTTCAGTTTATGGCTATAGGGTAACCAGATCTGGGTGCCCTGGCAGGAGGCTTCTCCCTAGAATTGCATGAAGTCAAGGATCTCAAAGGGAAAAAGGGAAGGTGGTGGTCAGTGTCAGGGTTCATGAAGTTCAGGCACTTGCTCAACTGATAGACACCAGAGCTTGGGGAATGCTGGAAATGCCCATTGGGTACTTGGGGGATGAGGAGACAGTGCCTTTGCTTTTCTCAGCCTCGGTTTCCTCATCTGTAGAATCAGACTGGAGTGCAGTGGCGCGATCTCGGCTCACTGTAATCTGCATCTCCTGGGTTCGAGCAATTCTCCTGCCTCAGCCTATGCTTATTGCTATAGAACTGCAAGAGTTCGGAATGAGAAGAGTGGAGCATTTCTCCACACTTTGACACGCATAACTGAGTGTTACAGAGACAGGGGCTGTGAGTCAGGCTGGTGGGGATCAAACCTTGGCTCCCCCACTTGCTCACCACACAGGTATCCTCTCTGAGCCTCAGAGTCCTTATCTGTAAAAGGGTCAAGAAATGGCTCTTCCTTCATAGTACTTGTTATAAAAGGAGAGAGTGCCAGGATGAGGATCTGGCCCTGCTGCCCTTGGTGATAATCAGGGACTCCTTTGGGAGAATGGAAAGGATTTGAGTTCCTGTGTATAAATCACCCAGTGCAGAGTAGACACCCCCAAATCAAGGTGTTATTTTATTTTTTATGGGATGAAGTTTCACTCTTGTTCTCTTGTTGCCCACGCTGGAGTGCAATGGCGCCATCTTGGCTCGCTGCAACCTCCACCTCCTGGGTTCAAGTGATTCTGCTTCAGCCTCCCGAGTAGCACCCACCACCACAACCAGTTGTTTTTTTTTTTTTTTTGTATTTTTAGTAGAGACAGTGTTTCATCATGTTGGCCAGGCTAGTCCTGAACTCCTGAACTCAGGTGATCCACCCACCTTGGCCTCACAAAGTGCTAGGATTACAGGTGTGAGCTACTGCGCCCTGCCATCAAGGTGTTATTTTAAGATGTGTTACCTTGGGCAACCCAGTTCCCCTTGCTGAGCCTCAGTTTCCCCATGTGTAGAATGTTGATAATGGTACCAACCTTTCCAGGATGTTATGAGGATGCAGTGAGCCTGAGGAGATGATAGACCTTAGTAAGCAATGGGGTTTTCCTAAGATCATGTGATCTTGGGCGAATCCTGGCTTCCCTTGAGTCCTCAGCTTCCCTGTCTGTGAAATGGTGATGATGATTGCTGTGAGGATTGGAGAGGTTGTACACAGAGCCTCGAATGGTGGCGGTGTTCAGGTTGTCCCTGAACTCCTGCAGAACTGTGGTTAGGAGAGCGTGGCCAGAGTCCAGCTGCCTGTGCCACATCCCAGCTCTGCCACCTCCTGGCTCTGTGACCTGGGAGAAGGCACTCCACCACCATGGGCCTCAGTGTCCTCACTTGTATGTGATAACACCAGCCTCACAGACCAGGAGTTGGGGCCGAATGAGTTAAATCCTGTAGAGTGCTTAGGGCAGCACTTGGCCTGCAGTCAGTGTTCAACAGATGTGAGCTCTGTAATGCCAAAGCCATGCAACCTCAGATGGGTTAGTGCTCCTCCAGCCCTCAAGTAGAAACGGTGCTTAGGGTGTGCTCAGGTAGCTTCCAATCTTGGCTGCTCTTTAGGATCATCTGGGAAACTTTGAAATCAATCCCAGGCTCTACCGCAGACATGCCTCTTCAATTGGCCTGACATGGGCCTAGGCATCTAAAGTTTTTAATTAATCCAGAAGATTCTAGTACAGAGCCAGAACTAAGAACCCCTGGGATAGACACCCGGAGGTCACAGAGGACAAGTTGGAAAAGACGGTCTTCTGTGGTGCCAGATGGGAGAAGAGCTTTTCAGGCTGTGGATGCTTCTGAACAACATGTACCCGGGACAGCTCTTTGGAGGCCCCAGTGGCCTGGCCAGACCCCCTCTTATAATACGGGCCTACAGGGGCCAAGGTAGGGGCCCCAGACAAAGCCCTGCTCAGATCCAACCTCAGGGCGGGGGAACCTTCTATCTTGAAAATGTTTGTGTCTAAACAACCGCCGGAATCCCAGCAGATCCTTCCAGTTCGGCCCCAGAACCCACCCTGCCTCGACACACCAAGCTGTCACAGAGGAATCTGTTCCCTCCTCCTTTAAAATGCTTCCAGCTTCCGTAAATGGCTCCTCTGGAGGGAGGCGCCTGTGATCTTGTTTGTGTTTTGAAAGCCAATTCGCCAAACTTGTTTCCTGAGGGGCTTGTTTAGAAAAGGGGAGAGAATCCTCACTTGGTGGTTTCTGCTCCTTTTATCATTTGGGTTTGTCATGAGCTGCAGGGAGCAGGGTTTGAGCCTTTTCTTGGTGTTTCCGCTCTGCTTTGTTCTGCTGCCTAAAGGATAAATGTGTAGATTCAGAAGCAGTAATGACCAGACCCCCTGATAACAGGCACAGGGGTCATTTATTAAGCACCTGCTACATACCAGGCTCTGTGCTTGCATTCAACCTCCTTCATCTTACCAGGGTGGGGTTTGTATCCACTTTTGGCCCTGGGCCTCTCTGAGCTTCGTCCTAAAAGGGGCTCACACGAGGATCCCCTCACAGAGATGGAACGAGGATTAACGAGCTGAGGGGCATGGAGGGAGCAGCCAGTGTCCAGCTCCAGAGAAGCCCTGGATAAATGAGAACTGATTGCAGCCCCTCAGCCCTGTGGGGACATCCAGGCTGCTGGCCTCGATGACTTGACTTCTTCAAATGACACCCTCCTTACTGTGCCCTCAAAATGTTTGACGGGTGTTAGGGAGCAAGTTAATATTTACAAATGCGAGTATGTGTGATATGTGCTTCCTGGTGACTGCGCTAGGAGGCACAAGGTAATAATTAGCAATTTGGAGACACGTTTAGGGCCCATCTGCAGGGAGAAACAGCCCACGTTCTGGTTCAGCCATTTGTGTGCTTTCAGGACCCAGGAAGTGCTTCTGCCTGCTTGGGCGCCCTGTGTCTGTGCAATTATTGATAATTAAGAAATTAACCCCTTTGGCTTTCTCCACACTTGATGATCTTTAATATCTATCCAAAGCTGACCCCAAAGAAGACCCCAGATTCAGAAAAGTATTCCTTCCTTCCAAATGTAGCGCTTGGCACAGATTAGCCCCTGCTGGAATATTTGTGGAGAAAATGAAAAATATGAAGTAAATTCATAAATACCTGAAGAGAGAGCTTTGGATATGAATAAAGTCTGGGTTAAAGTTAGATCTGTTTTTGCTTATTTTTGTGAAGCATCTTCTGTTTATCCAAAGCAAAACTGCTTCTGTTGCCTCATTTAATCCTCGCTGCATCCCAGGAAGGAGAAATGCTGCTGTCCCGTTTTACAGACAAGGACCTGGGTGTGCCGGGCTGCCCCTCTCATGGGCTGAGCGGCCTGGTTCCAGCTGTCAGGGTGGTGCCACTTTGCTGCTTACTCCCTGTACTGACCTCTATAAATGCTCTCTCTGGGGTTGGCACTGTTTCCGGGGGGGGGCAGGGTAGAAAGAGTTAATACCAAGGATGAGATGGATCGTTAATTTTGATCCTGTGCCCAAATTGGTGGAAATCACCCTGTGTGGAGTGGAGAAGTTTGAACTCAGGCCTGGACTTCCCTCTGGGCCCTGCCCCTACACTGTCTGACCTCACCTCTCCCAGCCTTTGCATCCTGCTCTGTAAAATGAGAATGAGGACACCACCCTCATTAATCCTTCCACATTATTGGAAGGATAAAAAATAATGTCTCAGAAGGTTCTTAACGTGTCACACGCTTATCGTTAGTGATTGTCATCTCAGTCATGTCTCCTGTTTATCGATGCTCCTTTTGTAGCCAAACCCTCTGCCCCTGTGGTATCGGGCCCCGCAGTGAGGGCCACAGCTGAGCACACAGTGAGCTTCACCTGCGAGTCCCACGGCTTCTCTCCCAGAGACATCACCCTGAAATGGTTCAAAAATGGGAACGAGCTCTCAGACTTCCAGACCAGCGTGGACCCCGCAGGAAAGAGCGTGTCCTACAGCATCCGCAGCACAGCCAGGGTGGTGCTGACCCGCAGAGACGTTCACTCTCAAGTCATCTGCGAGGTGGCCCACGTCACCTTGCAGGGGGACCCTCTTCGTGGGACTGCCAACTTGTCTGAGGCCATCCGAGGTAGAAGACCCTTACCCAGCCCAAGCCCACACCTGGCTGCCAAGCCCGTTCCCCACCACCCTCCACCCATCCAACTCTACTTTCGCTCCAGGGCTTGAAATGCCTAGAACCTAAATTCCTAACTGCCCACCTCCCATGCCCCTAGATGTGCCGGTCACTTACTAACATTTTAATGGCAGTGGCTAGGTGACCACCCACCGGGTGGCAAGGACTGCGCTCGCAGTTTCATTTATTTCACCAATAGCAACTACAGTTAATGAGCACCTACTATGAGCTAAGCCTCTATGTGCTTGGTGGTTTTCTTTATTTTGCTACAGTTGTAACATTCCAACTGCATGCCAGGGGTGGTGCTTATAGATTTCACCCATTCTTAGCCTAGTAGGAGCTACCAGTCCTTGAGCACCTACTGTGTGCTGGGCATTGTACTTAGTAATTTCATTCATATGCAAAGAGCACCCTCAATGTCTGAGCACGTGCTGCCTGCCTAGCACTGTCCTGGTGACACCCTCACCGTGGTGGTGGGAGCTACGTTATGGAGCCCTCCCTGTGATCTGTCTGTGCCACAAGGTCACAGCTTCTGCCCTGTGCTGTTTCAGTTCCACCCTTCTTGGAGGTTACTCAACAGTCCATGAGGGCAGACAACCAGGTGAATGTCACCTGCCAGGTGACGAAGTTCTACCCCCAGAGACTACTGCTGACCTGGTTGGAGAACGGAAACGTGTCCCGGACAGAAATGGCCTCAGCCCTTCCAGAGAACAAGGATGGCACCTATAACTGGACGAGCTGGTTCCTGGTGAATGTGTCTGCCCATAGGGATGATGTGAAGCTCACCTGCCAGGTGGAGCATGACGGGCAGCCAGCGGTGAACAAAAGCTTTTCCGTGAAGGTCTCAGCCCACCCGAAGGAGCAGGGCTCAAATACCGCCGCTGGTGAGGCCTCTATTTCAGCTGACCCAGCTCTTTTAAACTTTTAGTTTTGTGGGTTTTTTAAATGTTAAAAGTAGTAATTCCTGCTTATTATAGAATAATCTAGAAGTCTATAAATATAAAGTAGAATTTTAATGTCAGCTCCATTTCCCCAAATCCCACACTCCAAGAGTCACCACTGGTAAGGGTGTGATGCACATCTTGATAGATCTTTTGACATAGATTTATATCACAGGAGGAAAGAGGGAGAGAGGGGGCCCATCTGTTCATGGCGTCCTGCATCTTGCCTTCTTCACCTGATAGTTGTCACGCTCCCCATTCCTCACTGGCCCAGCCCCTCTTCCCTACTCTTTCTAGCCTCTGCCTCATCTGCCTGGCTGCAACTGGGAGCCTGCCCCACTGGAAGCCGGGGTGGAGTCATTCAGGGTGTTTGCAGCTTGTCTCACGTACAGTCAGTGCTTCAGTGAACATCCTTGTACATGTTCCATCCCACATGTGATTATTTCTGTGTGATTGCCCAAGGAACACTTTAGGCCAAAGGGCATACTCATGTAAGGAGGAGATAATGCTGTCACTCCCCTGAGAGAGTGTGAGGGTGTCAAGGTATCATTTTCTCAGCCCCTGCAACATGGTGTTGGTGTACATCTCTTCTGTTTGCAAATGGTGGCACCTGGTTGGCATTTCAATGCAGCCATGGAATATTTCATCACCTGTTATCAATGTGGCTGATGCCCTGTACACAGTAGAACCCTTGCATGGATTAGTAATAGAAGCCATTTATGTCCTTCATGCACCCTTCAGGGAAGCTCTAAAAGAGAGCCTTGGGGCTGTGTCAAAGTGACCGTTTGGTTTCACCAGTGCCAGGTTTTCATAGGACGTGTAGGACATCGGCTAGTGCCAGGTTTTCATAGGACATGTAGGGCATCGGCCAATGCCGGGTTTTCGTAGGACATGTAGGGCATCAGCCAATGCTGGGTTTTCATGGGACTTGTAGGGCATTGGCCAGTGCCAGGTTTTCCTAGGATGTATAGGGCATCGGGAGACAAGATGTGTGGCTTTCCATGCCAGCTGTGTCGCAGACTTGCTGTGTGACCTTGGACAAGTCAGTGCCTCTTTGGGCCTCCACTTGCTCGTAGCTGTGCTGAAGGGGATGAGCTTCATGACCTCTCAGCTCTGAGTCTCAGGTGGTAGGGGCCGTAATTATCTTGCTCAGCATTGTAGCTTCAGGGCCTGGCCACAGTAGGCACTCAATAAATGCTTTTTGAGTGAAACAGGATGAAAGAGTTAATTGGTTAGCTGGTTGGTTGGTTGGTTGGTTGGTTGGTTGGTTGGTTGGTTATATAATCCTTACTTAGCCAATGAGGTAGAGATGACCGTTGGCCCCAATAACAGAAGCAGCAGCCAGGGTTTGGAGGGCGGTTTAACTGACTTGCCCAGGGTCACACAGCTACTTAGTGGCATTGATTTGAAAGCACTTTTCTGTGGCTTAGAGCCCTGCTCCTGATGAACCACTGTGTTCTAGTCTACGACCCCCTTACCTTTGCCCTGGGCAGCCAAGCCTCCATTGTCATTTCAGGAGTCCTGCTTCAGAGCCCCTGTGCTAACTCCTGAGCCCAGTGTGACAGCCCAGGTGCTGGGCACAGATCAGTGGTGAGCCCCTGAGTTGTGCAGACCCTGGTAGCCACACTGCCCCTTCTTCCAGCTGTTGATTCAGTTTCCAGTGGATCTGGGGTACCCTCGTGACCGCTCTGTGGTTCACTCCAGATGAGAAGGAACGTTTCTGTTCCTCAGGAGTGAGATTTCTGCCTGTATCCTGCAGCAGGGGTTCCTCTGTAGCTGTCAGCAGCAAATATATTCCCCCCTGGCACCTCAGCATGGTTTTTGTACTGTTCATGGATGAGCCTCGTGGGCAAGTGTGTACGGACCCGTGAGTGTGCCCATGTGACTCGAGACATCTGAGAAGGCCCAGCCAGATGTTCTCAGCTAATGATGCCTGCTTAGTGGTGAAATGCTGTGGTGGGTTTGGTTTTCTCTGTTTTTAATCTGCATACGTGAAGCCTCTATTCCATGTGGTCCCTAGAGAATACTGGAACTAATGAACGGAACATCTATATTGTGGTGGGCGTGGTGTGCACCTTGCTGGTGGCCCTACTGATGGCAGCCCTCTACCTCGTCCGAATCAGACAGAAGAAAGGTGGGTGCATTCCCCTCTTCCTCCCTAAAGGTTTGTCCCTGGACTGTCCTCAGAGGGAGACGCCATTAGGTGTTTTGGGTTAAGGACATCATCTTCTGCCAGTAGCAAGAAGTCCAGAGGTAGTGGTGCTGAGGCTGGGGCAGTGGCCTCACCACGTTAGAGTCTGGGTGAGTCACTCCGTGGCTTCTTCCTCATGGTTACAAGATGCTCATCACTGCCCCAGGCCCCATGTCCTCAAGAGGCCACTACTGAGCAAGGGAGCTGCCAACCTGGGAAGAGGGGAGGCAGGGACTCTTCTTACCTGTCTCAGGGAGGACATTGTCTTTCCCAGGAGCCTCCCGGCAGACTTCTGCTTTCCTGGTACAAATCTAGGTTACATGACCAGCCCCTGGACAGGAGGCCAGAGAGAATGGAGATAATAGCGCCACCATTTGATTGGGAGGACTTAACAAGTGATTGCATGGAAACTGTTAGGGAAGTAACCTGGCACACAAGTGCTCAATAAATGTTAGCCCTGAGTATTACCCATATTGTATGTGAGCCCGGAACTATGAGCCACCTCCCTAGAAAGCCCCCTCACAGGGCAAGGTGCATAGTCTTTGACTGCACAGCAGGAGGGCACAGGGTCAAACCCAGGGCACAGCTTCCCCTTGTTCGTGTGCATGTGTTATGTGTGTCTTGTGTCTGTGTGTGTGTGTGTTGGTTGTTGGGAGGGTTGGTTGTTGCTGTGGCAGGGCCTCTGACTTGGAAGTCAGACAAACCAGGGTTCCAGACCCTGGTTATATCCGCTAAGCAATTTGGCCGCTAGAAGCCTCAGTTTCCCCATCTGTAAAATGGGTTTAGCCATGCCTGTCTTGGAGAAGTTACAAGATCCAAATAAGCCCATGTGAAATAACAGGTCTGACACATTCTAGAATCGCCATAAATACATGTTCTTTTTCCCACTCTTGTAGATGACAATTTTAAGCTGGTATTTCTGCAACCTTTTTTTATTACGAGATAGAAATACATTTCACATCTCAACCCAACACATACACACACCCTTTGTATATAAAATTAAAACTGATACTTTCTTTTTTGTCATATTCTTTTTTCTGTTTAAAATGCTGGTTGTGACCCACCACCTCCAAAGGGACAAGTGCTGTCCCGAGCTGCCTTTCTGTGGCCTGGCACAGCTGAGCTTGGATGGGCACAGTGTACACTAATCACGCATCCCTTCGGTAGCTCTTTCACCTCTACCTCCCAGGCTTCCCTCCCTCCTGGACTGGCTCTGAGATACTGGCCAAGCCTCATGCTCCTGTCTGGGAGGGTTGGAGTCAGGCCCTGCTTCTCCAGAATCTGCAAGATGTCCCACCAAGACGCCTACCCAATGGGTTCCCTAAAGTTCCTGGAGAGCCCCACACAGGGAGGAGGACTCCTTGGGTGGGGAAGCAGGTCCCTTCCCCACCAAAGGTGACAACCCATCCCATGGGATGAAGCATTCGTAGCGGCCGATAGTGAAATCCTGGCCATCCTTTCTGAGTCTCAGCCCCAGGCAGCTTGCCAGGCTCCTGACACGTGTGAGCTCATTACTGTGGGCTTAGGTGTTGCAGAGGAGGAATGGAGTTTGCAGAGCTGCAGCTCTGGTAAAGGGCACCCAGCCCAAGTGGCGGGTCTGTGTGCAGAGCCTAGCTCTCAAACACAGGCTCCAGTGACAGGGACGGCTAGTATCCCCCGGCGATTCCAATGTGCCAGGAACTGCTCACAGGGTTTTCCCTGTAGTAACAGTCAGTCTTCACCACAGACCTCATGGGTGACATTACTAACCCCACTTTACAGATGAGGAGACTGAGGCGTGGGAAAGTTATAAAACTTGTTCAGGGCCTCACAGCCAGGAGGTGGTGGGGCCAGAATTTAAACCCAAGGACCACGTCTAGGACCACCCTGCACACTACCTCCCTCCATCATAACTAGACCCCCCTTCTCCCTCATTAGGCCCTGGAGGGGTCTGCCCAGCCTCTCAATGCCGACAGTGAAATGTCCTGATTTCAACTCAACCACTACCCAGCTGTGTGACCCTGAGGAGTCACCTAGTCTCTGGTGTAAAAGGGGGGTGACTGGTGTCCTGTCACTGGATTCCCAGAGATGACTTGTGTCCAGCACTTTGCAACCTGTCAGCCTCTACTCAGACGTTCGGTGCTGAGCAGAGCTTCCAACTGAGGTACTCCTCACCTGAAGATCCAGGACCTGCCCAGGCACCAAGCGTTAACCCGGCAGCAAGAATTCTTGCACTGTGGCAGCCTCCAGCCTATTAAAGTGCGGTGCAGAGTGCATTTGGGTGTGCATGTTGCTTTTAATTACAATTTTACAGCAAAATGGGAGTCAAATGGCTGCTGAACCCTGGAGGCTTCTCTGTGGGTTACCCCATATCACAGGTTTAAAACCTCTAAACCAGATGGACATTTTCTTTCCTTCCAAGATCCTTTTTTTGGAAAGTGGTGGCATGTAAATAAATGGATGCTCAGCCCAACCCTGCAAGTTATAGAAGCTCAGAGAGAGGAAGTGACCCACCCAGGGTCACACAGTGAGTGAATGGGTAGCAGACCCGGGGTTCACACTTGATCCCCGATTTGCAGCCCTGCTAGAATCTGTTTTCAAGCCACGAAGAGCACTGAATGGGACTAGGCTTACTGGAGGGTCTCCACTGAGGTTTGTGGTTGAACGGAGGTGAGACCCAGACAGAGGTAGGGCAGTTGTCCCCTCCCAGGCTGAAGACTGCTTTTGGACCCCTGGCAGCTTCCGCAAGTGGAAAAGCAGGACCATCTAGCTTACTCCCTCACAGGCTTCCTTGGTGGAAGAGGATGCCCACTGGGTGGGCACGGGGGTCTCCTGTGGTTCCAAGGATGTGATTACAGTATTTCCTCTCCATGTCCCTGGAGGCAAACCTTTCTCCAGAAAATAGTTACATAAGAAAAGTGTGCTTCTAGTTAAACAACAGGCTTTTGTTTCTTTTGTCTTTCAGCCCAGGGCTCCACTTCCTCTACAAGGTAAGTGCATCATTGGTCCAGATCCTCTTGAAGTTATTATTTGGTTGTTTCACAGCCCCCCAGACTATGAAGCATAATCCACGTCCACTGACCTCACCGATGTGTTGGTCAACATGTCTCTTTCTCTCCTCTGTAATCTCCTTGCACTGGGTCATGCTGTTTTTAATTATTGTCCCAAATGAGGGGTTTTATTTTGGTGCACAGAGGCGCTGATTTCTTGCCTGCTCTCCCCAGACAACGAGACCCTTGTCTAATTCCACGTGGACTGGGGCAGAGACCTCCCGGGCTTTCTGTCCTCACAGACATCCTGCACGCGCCACCGGATGCATCCTCCCACATCCAAGTTGTATACTTTACTCTTTCCTTTGTTTAGTAAATATTTATTGAGTACCTTGGCGTGCTGTGGCCCTGGAATGCTGGGATGAGTTGGATAGAATCTGTGCCCTCTGCAAGCTCACAGCCTGGTCAGAGGCTCAGGCAGTGACGTTACGTCACCGATGGCACTTTAGTTTGTTGATTCACATTTTTAGTGACTTGAGTCCCTACTGTGTGCCAGCCCTGCTTAGGACCAGCTGGTGATACAGCAGTAAACAAGAATCAGCCCAGGCTTTCATGGGGCTCAGACGCCGGCGAGAGAAACAGGCATAAACGCAGAAATAAAGTGATTCATGGTGTCATATCAGGTGGCGACAACTCCTACCCTGCAAGGGGATGGAGGTGAATGGTGGGGGGCTGTCTTAGGCAGTGGAAGGGACTGCCTCTGAAAAGGGGATGCAAGCAGGTGCCTGAAACTAGTGAGCTACGATGGAGAGGAGCATGCTGGGCCAGAGAGGAGGCCTGTGTGCTAGGCCAGAGGGAAGGAGAGGAAGAAGATGAGGTCAGGAAGATGCAGGTCCTCGGCATCTTGTTGTCCTTCGCAGATGCCCCTGTAGCAAGAGCTATTATGAACCATTTTGTGAAAAGCCTTTATCAGCTTTTTGGAAGGCCTCTGATCTTCATCCCCAGCAGAGCAGAGGCAGCACACCGTAATCTGCCATGTGAACCTATCTGCATAGAACCATGTAGACATCCGTGCTAAGGGTGATAAATAAAACTATAAATAGCTTTGTGTTGGTTCAGACCAGGTTTTGCCAGCAACTGCATAGTGCCAGTCTTTCGATTGTTTAGAGCTTTCTGGGTTCCAGAATTACACAATAGGAAATGATGATCTGGAGTGGGGCCTGTGGGTGTTAGAAGGACTCGGGATTTTATCCCCAGTGGGATGAAGAACCACAGGATGGACATGATCTGACTTTTGTTTTAAAAGTGTCACCTGGCTACATGTGGAGCCCATGCTACAGGAGGTGAGGGTGTGTAGGTGACCGTAGCGGTCCCAGTCCAGGCAGGAAAAGATGGTGACCTGGACCAAAGTGGTGGGATAGCCTGAGAAATGCTCAGATTCTAGATATATTTTGAAGGTAGACCCAAGAGGACTTGCTGATAGATTGACTGTAGGGTTAAGGACCACCTCAAGGTTGGGGGCAATAGAGTGCTGTATCCTGAGTTGGGGGGTGCAGGTGATGGGTGGAGTGATGGGGCAAATACCAGGCAAAGCAGTTGCATATAGCAGGAGCAGCTCTTCTGCCAGAGAAGGCTCTGGGACGCATCGGGTGCCCCGCTCCTGCCCAGCATTGTGAGTCCAAGGTACTCTTGGGATAAAGCCTTGCTTCTTGCTCTGATCTCCACAGGGGCCCTCCTGGTCTGAGCCCTGCCCAACCTTCTGGCCTTCTCCTCCCCCGAACAAGCAGAGCCACCTCTCCAGCAAAACTAGGCTCTTCACTGCCTTCTGGGCACGTGTGTTTTCCTATTGTCGTGCTTGTGCCTGTCACACTCCCACACCTAGGACACTCTTCCAAGGGCAAGACTCGTTTCTATCATTTGCCCAAAAAACCTTCAGTGGCTCTCCCTGACCCTCCAGATAAAGTCCAGATGCCTCCCTGAGGCTTCTGGGCCCCTTGTGGTCCAGTTGCCTTGAACAGTTTCACTTCCTTCTACCCCCTGTCCTCACATTTCACGGCTCAACCACACTGTGCTCCTCCCCTCCCCCAGAGGCTGGGCCCTCACTCTCCTCCTCCCCCTTGCACACTGCCCTGTCTGCTGAGGTGTGCTCCCTGCCCCTGCTCATGCACTACCCAGGGTCCCCCAGCTCCAGGGGTGGCAGGCACAGTGGGCTCTGTGAATGGCACCCCCTGGAGTTATGCAATATGGTAGCTAGAGTGGGACCCCTCCTGTCACCTGGTCACCTCCTGCTCCTCCTGAGGTCAGCAAGGGCATGACATCCTCCAGAGTTGGGGGGCTTCCTGTGAACCTTCCTGGTGCCCCAGCATGGACACCTGGTGTGTTCAAGGTGTCTCTGCACCTGTCCCATTTCATAACCCACTCCTTGAAGCCAGGGCCCATGTCCCTAAGGTTCACTGCAAATAGCTGCTAAACTTGGCACCATGCCTGGAATGGGATAGGTGCTTAGTAAAGGTTTATTGAATGAACAAATGAACAGATGAATGAATGAATGAGTGAATGAATGAATGAGTGAATGAATGAATGAGTGAATGAATGAATGAATGGATGAATGAGTGAGTGGATGAATGAATGAGTGAATGAATGCCATCCTAAACCACTGTAGCACTTCCCACTCTGCCTTCTCTGAATCCCTAAAATACTGCTTCCTAGTGACTACACAGCCCCATCTAGAAGGATCTCTCTTTTTTGTTTTTGTTGTTACTATTATTTTATTTATTTATTTATTTATTTTGAGACAGAGTTTTGCTCTTGTTGCCCAGGCTGGAGTGCAATGGTACAATCTCGGCTCACTGCAACCTCTGCTTCCTGGGTTCAGATGATTCTCCTGCCTCAGCCTCCTGAGTAGCTGGGATTATAGGCATGCACCACCACACCCAGCTAATTTTGTATTTTTAATAGAGACAGGATTTCTGCTTGTTGGTCAGACTGGTCTTGAACTCCTGACCTCAGGTGATCCACCCACCTCGGCCTTCCAAAGTGCTGGAATTACAGGCGTGAGCCCCTGCGCCCCGCCCTGTTGTCATTATTTTTTACTTGTCTTACCTCCCTGATTAGACAATGAGTTTCTGGAAGAATAGGACATTGTCAATAATAATGGCATCATTAGCAGCTACCATTTATTGAGTACTTATTGTGCTCCTGGCACTGTCTATGCCTTTATGTATATTAGCCCAATTGTGACTTTAATTCTTGCAGAAACCCTATGATTTATCACTATCCCAATTTTATAGAACAGTGGTTTTCAAACTTGAGTGTGTTACAGAATCCCCAAAGACTTGTTAAAACACAGCTTACTGGGCCCCACCCTCAAAGTCCCTGATGGAGAATCTCTATTTCCACAAGTTCTCAGGTGGTGCTGATGCTGTTCTTCCCAAGCCACACTTTGAGAACTGCTGTTCTATCAGGTTCTTATTGTTCCCTATCCTATGGTTGAGGAAACTGAGGCCCAGAGAAGTCATGACATTCCCAAGGTCCTGCGGCTAGGAAGCACCAGAATGATGACTTCAGCCTTGACATCTCTTGCACGAAAGCTGGTGCCTTCATGACTGTTCCCATGCTTCCTGCTGTCTATTTCTTCTTCCCCAGAGAAACCAACCGTTTTCTGCCTGTTTTTTATTTTTCCAGCGTGAGCCTACCAAGGGAGCCATGAGATCACTTGCTCCCTTTCATCTCTCTAAACCAAAGCAATAGCTAGTGAGTGCTAATGGTGGTTTCCCATGCCTCAGCCGGCTTCGGCTTTGGCTTGCTGGGATCAGACACTTTCCAGAGGACGTTGGTGTGAGTAACAGCCGAGCACCTCAGGGAGGCTGCAAGCCGGGAGGCTGCCACTTTGAGCTCAAAGGGTTCTTCAGGTTGCAGGGCTGGTGGAGGGATTGGCTCTCTCTAACTCCCTGGGTTAGGAATGTACAGACAGAACATTGTCTGTAATCTTCCCCAGCTCAGACGAGAGAAAAACGTGTCTCTCTGCTCCCTTAATTGGGCACTAGGGTTCATTCAATCAGCCATTTATTCACTTGTCAGACATTCACTGCATTTATTCTTGGAATATTTAGGGCTTCCCTGAGTCTTTCATTTATTCATCTGGACTGAGCCTAACTCAGTGCCAGGCCTTGAGCTGGGAGTTGCAAAGGGGAGGAGAAAAGGCCCACCCCTGGTCTCATGGCACTTAAGAGCCAGTGAGAAAGATTTCATTCATTCATTCACTCACTCATTCATTCATTCATTCAACAAATACATATGGACTGCTAATGATGTGCCAGCCCAGTTCTTAGTGCTGGGGCTTCAGAAGTGAATGAGACTGGCCCGGTTCTTGGTGCTGGGGCTTCAGCAGTGAATGAGACTGGCCCAGTTCCTCCCTGTGTGAAACTGATGGTCCGCTGAGGAGACAGGTTACCAGACAAGCTGGAAAGTTAATAAAGGATGTGGTACAGCTGCTGACTAAATACAATGAAGCCAGGTAAGGGATAGAGCAGATCAAGGAGGTAAGGTCTTGGGTGAGCAGGGAGGGCTTATCTGCAAGGTGACATTTAGAAGGATGAGGAGACTCCAGCCATGGGAATATCTGGGACAAGACTACACCAATCAGAGGGAACAGCCAGTGCCAAGACCCTGAGACAGGAGCAGTCAGATGCATGCACAGAGCGCAGAGGAGGACAGAGGAGCTGGAGCGGAACAGAGACAGGAGAGGGATGGAGCCTAGAGCAGTCAGCCGGGCTGAGCCTTGGAGCTGGTGTCACTTGACCACCTTGGAGTGGTTATAGAGGGCTTGAGCATTGTGAGCAGAAAAGTAGCATGACATCACTTATGCATTTGAGATAGGGAGAATGGAGGGCAGGGAAGCAGGAATAGAGGTGGGGAGATCAAGGAGGAGGTTCTTCGGGAATCAGGGGAGTTAGGATGGTGGAGAGGATGGGGTGGCTGGCTTTGATGGATAATTTGGAGGTGAAGCCGACCAGCCCTAGGTTGGATTAGACGAGAACTGTAAAGGAAGAAAAGAATCAGGGCTGACTCCTACTTCTCCAGCCTGAGCACAAGATGAGCAATGGTAGAGCTATTCACTGAAATAGGAAAATCCAGGGGAGAGACAAATATGGGGAAATGGGTAATTGGTTGTAGTCTGAAATTGCTTTGAAAGAGAAGAACACAGTGTTTTGAGAATGGAGTTTGGGGGTTCAGTTAAGATTTCTCCAAGACAAGACTGTTTAAAATAGCATCTGAAGGAAGAAAAGGATTGAAGCAGATGAAGAGGCAGCAGCCCAAAGCATGCAAAGGCCCTGGGGCAGCCTGACTGGCATTCATTCCAAGTCACTGTTTTTGAGCACATGTGGTGAGGAAGCATGGCAGGCAGGCAGACAGCAATAGAAACCAGATATGCAGATAGACAGGAGATCTGAGATTGTCACGGAGGGGCAGCCCAGCCAGCCCAGCACCGTCGGCAGAGCCATCACAAGGTGACACCATAGTTGAATCTTGAAGGAGACACGAAAGTTAGCCAAGAAGAAAAATGATCAAGGGGGTCCTTCATGCTGCTATTGAATCATGAAGTACATAACATCAAATGTACCCCCCCCTGAAATATTTGGTGGGTAGATGAGTGGGTACATGAGGACAGGGCAGTGAATTAGCCTGGAGGCAGCACGCCAGGCCACGTGGGACACGGAGCAGGGCGATGAGTTGGATTTGAACCAGCCAGCCAGTGGGGAGCTCCAGGAAGGCTGGAGGCCAGTAGGGTGGGGACAGATCTGTGTGATCTTCCCCAGCGGACGTGGCCCTGCTCCTGGAGGGTTCTTTCTGTGGCCACGTGGGGCTTGTCATGTCTCAGAACTGCTTTCGGAGCCAAGCACTCATGCCAAATCCATTAATAACCCTGCTGCCAAGCCCCACTGCTCATTTCTGACATTATCCATGCTAACATCCCCGGGGTTGCCGGCTTGAGAATTTACACAACTTCTGCCAAGCCAGTGGCTCTGGTATGCTCATCACCTTGACCGTGACCCTCCAGTGAGTCAAGCCGTGGCCTCCAATTACAGAAGCAAGTGCATGAACAACTTCTTTGATTAACTTGGACATCTTGGTCTTTTTCTTTTCTTTCTTTAATGATGATACATAGATGTTTATAATACAGAACATTTGGAGAATATGGGAAACTAAAAAGGAGAAAAAAAATACCATGCAAAGACCACTGCAGTTTGCATTTTGCTATGTTTCCTTCCAGTGTTATCCACACATTTTTCATAATTGAGATAATCCCACAGAGAATTTTCCTTTTTCACTTATCATTTTAATGTAAGCATTTGTAACTTAAAAAAAAACCTCCTCATAAACCTTTTAAATCTTTATCTGTGGATTTATCCTAATTTCCCTAACCAGTCCCAATTGGCAGAACCCTAAGATATAAACCTCCCCCATCCCGCCCTTGACAAATGCCTTTGTGTTGAAAGCGTTTTCTATATTTTGAATTCCCCCAAAAAAAGTGCAATTATGAGTCAAAAGGATGAGGACATCTTCCAAGCTCTTGATTTTGCCAGCTGCTTCCCAAAAGGATTGTACTGGTTTGCCTCTCCCACCAGCGACGTATGCAAGCTCCAGTTCATTTCACCATAGCTTCCCCAACACCAAGTATTATAATTTTTAAACATCCTTGCCAATAGAGTAGGTTAAAAAAAAAAGATAGTGCATTGTTTACAATTCCTTTTTAATGAGATTGACCCCTTTGTCCAAACATTTGATGTGCAGTTGTGTTTCTATTATGAGTCCTTCATCCATGTCCTCAACCCATATAGAAAGTGGAGCCTAAATGTTATTCTTATCAATTTGCATGAGCACTTTAGATAGTGAGGGTATTTTTATCTGTGTGTCTCTTTCCTTTTTAGGTTGCATGAGCCTGAGAAGAATGCCAGAGAAATAACCCAGGTACAATCCTTGGTGAGATGCCCTTCCTGGGAAACTCCATGGCGTGGTTGCTTCACATCAACCGGAATTGCAGATCTGGTTCTAAATTAAGACTCCCTGTGGGGTGCAGGGTGGAGGATCTTACATTCCTAGCTTTCCCCATGTCCTGTGCATATTCCTTCTCTCTGCTGCAGCCAACAGTGGCTGTTGCAGCCTCCTAACTCAGTGCTACCCATTGCACAACTCCCCAGGGGCACCATTCACAATCCGTCCTATACAATGGTGCCCTGGAGTCAGGCTGCAGCTCCCTTAGTGTGGATTGTGCCTTCCCACCTCTGTGCATTTGCCCAGACCCATCCCTCTACCAGGAACGCCACTCCCAGCTCACTGCCCACTCCTCCTCACAGCCAGGCTTTTCTATGCTGTAACTGCACAGCCAGCCTGCCAGGGCCTCTCCCACCTTTGCTGATGGAAAGACCCCATGTCATTAATTACCTCACACAAGGGCACACTTGCTCAAGCTGGAGGTTTCTGGTCAACATTGCTGAGATGATTTTGCAGGCAACGTGGTTTCTGAGAAACCTAGCCCTGCTTATCACCGGCTGACGCTGTCAGACCTTGAAGGCAGAGGGCTCCTCAGCATCTTGTAACAAGACAGGTCCTGCTCTGAACCCGGAACGAGAGTGCGCCAGCTGTCCTTGACATTTCCAAGGCAGTTGTCATCTTTTTAGATGTAATCTGTTGTCGGGCTGGTGAAAGGCACAGCATTTGTAGACCAAAATGCCTTGGCCCTGCCCTTGTGACCGATGGGGTACCCCGGCAGCCCCGGACATGAGCTCAGGTAGTAATTAGGAAAAACAAAACCATTTCCAGTCATGAGAGAGGGAGACCTTCTCCCCTGTCATTCTACTTCTGGACTTCCTCCTGGAATCTTCTGGGGGAAAAAAATGATGGTGGAAAAACGGGTCATGGACACCTACACGAAATTCACATCAGCAGAGACTTACCGGGCACCCACTATGTGCCACGCACTGGACAGCCAGACAGTCACGGCCCAACTGGCAGAGTGCCTGCGATTCCAGTGCCAGGTGCTAGCCCTGGCCAGGGAGGGAGTTGCATGCTATCAATGTGGATTTCCCAGACAGAAGTAAATGAGAGCACACAGGGCTCAGGACAGGAGCTGTGTGCTAAGAGCACAGCCGCAGAGTCCAACACACTTTGGTTCTTTGCCAGCTGGACAACTTTGTCCACTTTATTTAACCTCCCTTGGTCTCAGTGTCTTCAGCTGTAAAGTGGAATAGATAATCCTTCCCAAGTAGGTTGTGGTAAGAGTGGATGGGTGATCTGTGTGGTTGTGTGCTGCTTGTAAGCCCTGAGAACTGAAATGGGCCATTACCGTGCACCAGCTAGGAGGTGTGCCGGTTGGTGGTAGCTTTATTCTGTTCTATCACGCAGGGGCCGGTCACAGAGGAAGCAAAGTTTATCATTCATGATGGGCGATTTTGAGGTGGCAGTGGCAGGTTGATAGGATTAGCACATGGGAGGTATCCAGATTTGCTAAGTGGTTAATGATTGCGAACATTTATTGAAGACAGATGCTCAATATGTACCAGGCTCTTTTCTAAACGCTTTACCTGGATAATCTCATTTCATTCTCACAGCAACCCTGGCAGTAGACACTATTATCATCCCCCCTTTACAGATGGAGAAACTGAGACCCAGAGAGGTTAAGTGAGTTGCTCAAAATCCCTGAGCTAGAACCAGGATTCAAACCCAGACTTTGTGACTCCAGAATGTTTCCCGCTTTGCTAACTGGCGATCTCATTCTTATACTGCCCCTGTTCTCTGTCTCCCTGTCTCCAGCTTTGCCCTGAGTGAAGCTGAAATTATTGCCATCTTATTTATTCAGTATGAATCAGACTTCTTCTGTGCCAGCCTTGGTTTCTGAATCATAACAAATGCCCAGTGAATATTTGTAGAATAAATGCGTACATTAATGAATGTCCCCACACACATCACCATCAGCACCTACTCAGGCCCCCAAACAGACACGGTCCTGGGTGGTGGGTCCTGTGATGGAAAACAAACATGGGCTGAGGAAGCACAAAGAAGGAACCTGGACCCTGCCAGGAGAGGGGAGGGCCAGGAAGGGTCTTAGGATGAGCCGTGCTTCATCTGAAATTTACAGGGTGGATTGGGATTTGTTACAAGGAGAAGCAGGACAGACACCCTTGGCAGAGGGAGGAACATGAGAAATGGGCGAAGACTACAGGTGGTTCAGGCTTGGAGGAGGCAGGAGCGGGAGGAGGTGACACTGAGGCGGGGCTGTGAGGGGACCACACTGTGTGGGTCAGAAAGACCCTTCAGGCAGGGTGAGGAGGAGGGTGGATGGGAAGGGGCAAGGCTGGAGGCAAGTAACGTTGGCAAGAGATGAGGGGAACAGGACTTATGGCTGAGCCAGTGTGGGCCGAGAGGACACAGAAGCATCCAGACTTGGTATTTAGTTTGAGTGAGTGGGCCAGGGCCTCTAGAATGACCTTCTCATGACTTTCTCTTTGGGTATTTTAAATCCAGGACACAAATGATATCACATATGCAGACCTGAACCTGCCCAAGGGGAAGAAGCCCGCTCCCCGGGCCGCGGAGCCCAACAACCACACAGAGTATGCCAGCATTCAGACCAGCCCGCAGCCCGCATCGGAGGACACCCTCACCTACGCTGACCTGGACATGGTCCACCTCAACCGAACCCCCAAGCAGCCGGCCCCCAAGCCCGAGCCATCCTTCTCAGAGTATGCCAGCGTCCAGGTCCCGAGGAAGTGAATGGGACCGTGGTTTGCTCTAGCACCCATCTCCACGTGCTTTCTTGTCCCACAGGGAGCCGCCGTGATGAGCACAGCCAACCCAGTTCCCAGAGGGCTGGGGCGGTGCAGGCTCTGGGACCCAGGGGCCAGGGTGGCTCTTCTCTCCCCACCCCTCCTTGGCTCTCCAGCACTTCCTGGGCAGCCACGGCCCCCTCCCCCCACATTGCCACACACCTGGAGGCTGATGGTGCCAAACCAGCCAGGGAACCGACCTGGGAAGTGGCCAGAACTGCCTGGGGTCCAAGAACTCTTGTGCCTCCGTCCATCACCACGTGGGTCTCGAAGACCCTTAACTGCCTCCCCGATGCTCCGAAGCCTGAGCTTCCAGGGTGGCCCCCTGACCACCACCACCACCACCACCACCACCCCCACCCAACTGGGGCTTAAGGGGGGAAGATTTCCCCTTTAGATCAAACTGCCCCTTCCATGGAAAAGCTGGAAAAAAATCTCTGGAACCCATATCCAGACTTGGTGAGGTTGCTGCCAACAGTCCTGGCCTCCCCCATCCCTAGGCTAAAGAGCCATGAGTCCTGGAGGAGGGGAGGACCCCTCCCAAAGGACTGGAGACAAAACCCTCCGCTTCCTTGGGTCTCTCCAAGACTCCCTGGGGCCCAACTGCGTTGCTCCACCCAGACCCATCTCTCCCTTCTAGACCTGAGCTTGCCCCTCCAGCTAGCACTAAGCAACATCTCGCTGTGGACGCCTGTAAATTACTGAGAAATGTGAAACGTGCAATCTTGAAACTGAGGTGTTAGAAAACTTGATCTGTGGTGTTTTGTTTTGTTTTTTTCTTAAAACAACAGCAACGTGATCTTGGCTCTCTGTCATGTGTTGAAGTCCATGGTTGGGTCTTGTGAAGTCTGAGGTTTAACAGTTTGTTGTCCTGGAGGGATTTTCTTACAGCAAAGACTGAGTTCCTCCAAGTCCCAGAACCCCAAGAACGGGCAAGAAGGATCAGGTCAGCTGCTCCCTGGAGACACTTAGCCTTCTGACTGGGACTGACTTGGCCAAGTTCTCAGCCGAGCCACGCGGCTGGTACTGCAGCCTTCTGTGACCCCGCCGTGGTAAGTCCAGCCTGCTGAGGGCTGCCTCTTGACAGTGCAGTCTTGTCGAGACCTAACGCCTCAGTCTGCTTATCCGTAAAGTGGGGATAGTGAAGATGACACCCCTCCCCACCACCTCTCATAAGCACTTTAGGAACACATAGTAAAGGGTAGGGAGAGTGGCCCTGGCCGTCTGTCCTACCCCTTTAGTGTCCACCCCCATCCCGGCTTTCCGAGCTGATCCTTGAAGAAGAAAGAAATCTTCCATTTCTGTGCTCAAACCCTACTGGGATCAAACTGGAATAAATTGAAGACAGCCAGGGGGGTGGTACAGCTGTGAAGCTCGGGCTGATTCCCACTCTGTCCCAGAAGGTTGGCCAGAGGGGTGACCCAGTATTCAGTCTTCACTGTAACTCTTAAGAGTTGAGACGCTAATGTTCATGACTCCTGGCCTTGGGATGCCCAAGGGATTTCTGGCTCAGGCTGTAAAAGTGAGAAGCTGAGCCATCCTGCCCATTCCTGAAGGTCCTACAGGTGGAACTGCAGGAGCTCAGCACAGACCCAGCTCTCTGGGGCCTGGTCACTTGGTGATTTCAATGATGGCATCCAGGAATTAGCTGAGCCAATAGACCATGTGGACAGCTTTGGCCAGAGCTCCCGTGTGGCATCTGGGAGCCACAGTGGCCCAGCCACCTGGCTCGGGCTAGTTCCAAATTCCAAAAGATTGGCTTGTAAACCTTCGTCTCCCTCTCTTCTACCAGAGATAGCACATACGTGTGCACATGCATGCACACACACACATTCAGTATTTTAAAAGAATGTTTTCTTGGTGCCATTTTCATTTTATTTTATTTTAATTCTTGGAGGGGGAAATAAGGGAATAAGGCCAAGGAAGATGTATAGCTTTAGCTTTAGCCTGGCAACCTGGAGATTCCACATACCTTGTGTATTGAACCCCAGGAAAAGGAAGAGGTCGAACCGACCCTGCGGAAGGAGCATGGTTTCAGGAGTTTATTTTAAGACTGCTGGGAAGGAAACAGGCCCCATTTTGTATATAGTTGCAACTTAAACTTTTTGGCTTGCAAAATATTTTTGTAATAAAGATTTCTGGGTAATAATGAGTCCTTCCGGTGTTCAGTATTCTTGTCTTTGTGAGCGTGTCCCGGGGCCGCGTCAGGGGCTGCCCGCCCTCCTGCCAAGGCCTGGAAGAGGATTGAATGGACCCCAGGGTTTGGAAACAACCTACAGCATTTGAGCTTCTCACTTAGGTTTTAGAGACATACGATTTTGGTTTCCCCTGGCTCAGAAGGAGCCAGTGTAAGGTTGAGATAAAATTCCATACAGACAACTGAGTTTGGATCTCGGCTCTGCTGCTTTGTAGCTGTGGGAATTCAAACAGCACCTCTTTGAGACTTGGGCCCCACGTCTGCACAGTGGGGCAGGAAGAGTCCCTGCCAGGGTGACTGTGCGGATTCAAGGAGGTTGGGAGCACTGAGCCCATGCTTGGCACTGGGCAGGCCATCACTGAGGCTTGTGTCTTTCCTTCCTGCCCTGACCCTGCATAGCTGAGTCTCGTGGCCTCTTACACTGATGGGATCTTGGACACCTGGCTCCCCCTCCTGGGGCCTCACTTTCCTTCCCCACCAAATGCAGAAATCTAATGCTTGTCTTGTAATATCCTTGCCAGATGACTGATGTCAAGTGCTGGTTTATAGTGGGTGCTCAATAAATGTTAGTTTCCTTTCTCTCCCTCCATTAGATCATTAATGATATTAGTGCTAATTATGTAATAAAGTTAAGGCATAAATATGTTAATATTTAGTGGTTACTATGTGTCAACACTTTGATGAATTCTTAAACCTTGTGACTCAAGGGCAATCATGTTACTGATTCTATTTTATAGATGACACAGAGAGGGGGTGTAACTTATACAAGGTCACAGAGCTAATGAGCGATGTTACTGAGCCTCCAATTCCAACTGGATGACTGCAGTGCCTGATGCTTAGCCACTGGGTTAATAATCAGTACATCATGTATTGAGCACTGACTGCAAAATTAACCACTATGATAGCTAATAACAGCTATGACAAGTGTGGTGCCAAGTGCTTCACAGCTATAACCCATTTCATTCTCCCAACTACCACATGAGGGAGGAACTCTTGTTCTCTGTGCTTTACAGATGAGGAAACTAAGACACGGAGAAGTCATTTCTCCAATGTCCTATGGCAGAGCAGTTTGAAGCCAGGGAATCTGGCTCTTTCCCACACTGTACTTACTGCCTCATTTAATTCTCATGACTATCAGATCGCTCTGGTTGTGCCCATTTTGCAAAGAACGAAAGATAAGGTTCTGGAAGTGCATGTGACATGACCAGTCTCACGCAATGAGTCTTTAGTCAAGTTGAGACTTGAACTCAGATCCATAAGCCCACTGGGGATCATCTCTACACCCTTGGCCTGGTCCATGTGATCAGAGACCACCTGAAACAAGGAGCTGCCTGCAGGGCTCAGAGAGGTCACCCTTCTCTCAGGCCAGGACTTTGGCTGTAACAGACAGCTCAGCAGTTTCCTGGCCTGTGGCCTGAGTTCAGCTTTCCACCTCCCTCTGGGAGCAACCCATGAAATATGTGCACTGCTTGCAGGAATGGGGTGTTCAAGGCATGAATCCAGGCCGAGTGGGTGGGGAAATGCCTTCCATTCTCAGGGAAGGTGGGGGATGATGGACTGCGTGTCCGGGCAAGGAGACTTGGGGGGTGTATTTTAGGCAGCACCTGGGCCTTGCTTCTTCACAGCCAAATCTCCAGGGCTGGAGGTTGGCAAGCAAAATGAAAGTTGATGGGAGCTAAGTGGCCCTTGTCCAGCCCGCCAGGAAATCAGTCAAGCATTTGGCATTTATCAGGCACCTCCTTGGGGTTCCTCCTGGTGCAAAGGAGAATGTTAAGACTCCCTTCCTCCATGAGGACCAGGCCAGAGTCCTCTGCCTTCCGCCTGAAGCCTCTGCCCATTTTACGTGATAATCAGGAAAATCTCCACCGACCCCCAACCCCAAGATTCGAATGCCCAACTGTAAAAACCCATGCGTCTTCTAGCACATTTCCAACAGCCAAGTTTTGATGAAAGTTTATTGAATTTTGGCATAAGCATATACTACATATTAGATACTCTTCTAAACTCTGGGCAGGTATTTATTAAAATTAATTCACTTTATTCTCTTGACACACCTATGAGTTAAGTACTATGATTATCCCCCATTTAAGAAAGAAATGGAAACACAGAGATTAAGCATTTTGCTCCAAGGTCACCATCCAGGAAACGACGTCACTGTGGGTATGGTCCAGTCCAGCACTGAATGGGCATATAATGGGGATTGGGGCTGCTGGAGAGAAAGTGGGGGGCATAGATAATGTTCAGGATACACTGGACACTGTCAGTAGCCAGGAAACACCACATCATCTCACCACCAAAGTGTTAGAACGTCAGGGTGGTATGGCTACCTGCCTGCTCACCAGCCAGCCAAGGCACCCTTGAACCTGCCACTGCTGGGATCCCCGACACCACCCGCTTCACCACCCTCTTCACTGTGCCTGACCAGGTTCTTGGTTTCTTTTCTGAATACAAGATCATGACATTGAAGATGCTTTTTAAGAAGACGTGCTCCTGATGTTCAAAAACAGGCAAAACCTTGGCAACAGAGATCAGAAGAGTGGCTGCCCTTGGAGGGAGGACAAGGAGAAGCCTGGGGTGGCACATGCTCTACATCTTCCCGAGTCATGGTTATCTGGGGGTTGCATAAGTAAAAACTCTCCCAGCTGCACATTTAAGATGGGTGCATTTCCCTGTATATAAGTTATACCTTGAATTTTTTAAAAGATGGATGCCCCTGCCCTGCCCCCCTCAACCTTTGATGCCTGCCCCAATCTGTTTTTCAAAGTTAGTGTCAACACCTTATCTTTGGTCCCTGAACCCAGCCCAGGGCCTGGCCCCAGTGAGAGGCCCAAGGAGTGTCGCTGAGTTCATTTGAAAGATGAACATCCCTGTGATCAAAATAGCACACAAAACAGTGAAAGAAAAGATGTCAAACAGCACAAAGATTAAGGATGCCTACAAGGATAAGCCATTATCTGTCATCACTTCATCCCCTGAAATTCCCTCCATCACTTTTCCTCCTCCTCCACCCATGGGAATTGGATACAACCTCACCCCGGAGTCCTTGCCCTGTGACCTTGGGCAAACAGATTCACCACTGAGCCTCTGCTTTGTCATCTGTGAAACAGGGATAGTAGCAGCCTTCACCTCCTAGGGTTCTGGCGAGGGTTCGATGAGAAAGTAGATTTAAGACTCTTTGCAGCAGTGTGGTGCAGACAGCAGTCGACATATGCACACAAACACACGCTCACATTCACACTCACGTTGACACCCACACACTCACATGTCAGGCCAGGTTATTACAGCAGCTCTGCAATGGTGGGTCTTCTCTTCTGACAAATAATTTTATCAAGTCCCTCTCTTTCTCATTAGCCTGAGATAGGTCTCTCTTACTAACCTTTGGGGGATGGGGTCCAACACCCCAGCTTGGGTTTTGGAGTCCTCTGCCTTACACCACCACCTGACCTGTTCAAGAACATTTCCTGCTCCTCCCCAGCCCCTACTGGACTCCCTGGCCAGGCTGATCTTCCTCTCCCGAGAAATACTAGATAGCAACTCCTTTGACTTCCCTAACCCCAACATGAGTCATTCCTCCAGGGACTTGGTGTCCTCTCGACCAGACA